CAGAACAGCAGGTAGTTTCAAACTGCTGACTGTGAGATTAGCAGCCCGATTCATAGCCACAGATGGCACTTAATAATAACAACACAAATATTTGCCCTTTTTATCATTTATTATCTCTTCCTTTTTTCTGTCATTTTTCCTATCTTCGCTCATCTCCTTTTCCTCCCTTCTTCTCATACCTGAATGACCTATATTCAGCTTTGTTCTTCATTCCCAGTTCCCCACCTTAGAAAGGACTATTGAGGTCATCTTCTGCCTTTGCAGTATATGTTACTACGCTTTTGTTCAGTAGGCAATGACCTTGAAAACACACCAATGAGTTGCCCCTAAGTGACTTGTGGGTGGAGCATGTAGAAATTTCCATTGTCTTTTAGTGGAGGCCAACCAGGTTTCCTCAAGGAGATAGAAGTTCCTTGTGAACTTCACTTTAGGTTCCTACCCTAACTTCTAATATTCCAGACCAAAGCAAGACATAGACCAGTGTCTGTAATTTTAGTTGAAACTTCTTTAAGATGATCTGTGTGACTATTGTAGGCTGGGAAATGTTTGTAGGATTTTGAGACATTATAAAGTACTAAAAGAAAAGAAATTCAAGAGGTGAAAGCTCAAGTTCTTGGAAGTGTAAGAGGTCAAACATTATAAAACTAAATGAAAGAATGAATGAATGAAGCCTAGATGGATTTCACCTTCCACAACAATTGCACTGGCCTTCTTCCATCTGCCTCAAGAGGTCTCAGGACTCTCCATAAATCCAGGCCAAATGGAGCTGTGAAAAACAAGAGTGAGAGGTTCAAGTCAGACAGGAGGAGGTTACAACAGGAGATGAGGAGAGTCAGGTGGGCTGCCTTCAGAAAAGGCAGTTGAGAAGCGTTTGTTTGAGCGAGCTAATGTGAGTAATTTGGAAACCGTTGGGGACAATCAAAGGATTGGAATCAATCAAAGGTAAAGAACTGTTCTTAAGTCTGACAATGTGATGTAAGATATCTGGATTTATGTATGACACCTTCATTCATGGCATTTAAGGTATAAAAGCTGGGAATGACAATGGATAAGGATCAATATAATTATATAGTTATGTATTAGAGTCCTGGTGTGTAGCCTAGGATAAGTAGTGGGCTACTAACCGCAAGGTTGGTGGTTCAAACCTACCAGCCACTCCTTGGAAACACTACACAGGGTTGCTATGAGTTGGAATGGACTTGAGGGCACTCAGTAACAACAACAGTTACGTATTGAATTGTGTCCGTCCTACCAATTGTATTGTAAATCCTAACCACTATACCTATAGTCACAATCCCATTTGGGAATGAGTTTTCTTTCTTATGTTAAGAGACAGTATCAGTGTAGGGTGTGTATTAAGCCTTTGAGATTTTAAATCTTGGAGATATTTAAAAAAAAATTTTTTTTTAAACCTTTGAGATATTAAAAAAAAATCATTTCAGCAAAGAGAAGCAAGTGGAGATGGAAGAAGACAGATACCATGCCAGTTGAAGATCACCAAGGAGTCAGAGAACAGAAGCTGAGATAAGGATCTGCCCTGAGAACAGACAGAGAGGAGAGCCTTCCCCCAAAGCTGGCCATCCTAAATTCACACTTCTAGCTGCCTACACTGTTAAAAATCCATCTTTGTTGATTAAATACCTGTGATATTTCTGTGACAGTAGCACTAGGTAAGTAAGATATGTAAAACATATCCATGAGGCTTCAGAACGTTTGTGGATGGGGACTAGGGCTGAGAGTGAAGTGGCCAGCTGCTCTGAAGTCCAGGAAGGCATGCATGAACTCCCAAACTTGCACCTAGTACCCATTTGACCTAGCTTGGATGGCTAGCTGACCAGAATGTGACCAGATGGAGATAAAGATGTTTGATACTGTGAGCAAGTGCAAATTGCTACAATTTGATGAATTGGACTTTTACTTATGGATGCAGTTGCTCAAAATTCCATCAGAAAATAAGGATTCTTCATATTGAGGATCAAGTTTGGTTCCTCAGTGTACTAGATTGATAGGAATGGGCAATTTAGACATTGGTTATCAAAATAAAGGAGGGTGGGCAGAGTATAAAGGCATGAAGTGACTGGTTTACAAGCTTTCATGAGTGTGCTTAGTTTCAAAATGAGGGGGTTGGTTTAAGATAAATCCCCACCGAATAGTTTCCCACTTTTCCAGGTGAATCTGGTGAAGGAGATGAGGGATGATGGTGATAGGATTTTATGATTCAATTCTGAGTAATGTTAGCAGAATTAATTGTGATTCTCATAACTGTAATTGTAGATGTGTAAACCCTGTACAGGGTCGCTAAGGGTCGGACCCGACTCGATGGCACTTAACAACAAACAACAACAACAACAACTAAAAGGGGGGAGTTCACTTCAGGGACAGATGATCCAGGACCACCAAGAAGAAAGAGCATGAGATCCTACCTAGAAAAGCAGTGACCACAGAGACAGTGGCAGAGGTGATGGCATGGAAAAACAGAGCAGCTGAGGACTCTAGGTGCATTGACTGAGTAAGGCTGTATGCCTGCAGGCTGGAGGCTGGCTTGCAGAATATGCTCTATGGGTGTTTAAATTAATATATAGATACCTGTTTTGTTTTTATGTGTACAGAAAACATTTTTGCCTTTTTGAAGAAAAAAAGAAAGAAGAGAAAGTAGAAGAGGAGGAGGAAGTAGACAAGAAAAAGAAGGGGGAGAAAGAATACTACAGACCAGGAAAACATCTTTGATCCCCTCCTCCCATCCTGGCCCTCTACCTCCTACACCTAACCAGTTGGCAAGTTCAGGTCGTTTTTCTGTTTAGTACATATGGTATTACTTTTCCCCATGTCATTTATGACTAAATACAACATGGAAATATAACTTGGAAACCTAGCTGGGCTACTCCAGAAGGGGTATGATTGAGGAGCATGGAGGGAGTGTGAGTTGACGGGTTGTGAATTCAGACTCTAAGCATTCAAATCTCTAACTCTGTGCTCATCATATGCTGTCTAACTGGAAGGAAATTGCTTAAGCTGTCTATGTAACAGTTCTCAACTACAAAATGCTTATAAGGATTTAATGAAAAGCATTTACTACCTTGCTGATGCTAGTAAGTCCTCTAAAAACATCCACTCTCCTTAACCTGTGGGGCCACCTCATTCTCTCTGAAACTATTTAAAAATGGAAAAGTGACATATATTAAGAAAGGGCAGAGGTTAAGTCACTTCTACAAACTGCATAACCACAATTCTGTTTCCAGTCCCCAAGAAGATACCGCTCTGGCCCTGCCAGCCATCACTACTCTGAAGGAACCAGTGATCTGTGTTTTGTTATTAGAGGTTGTTATTTGCTATGCTTGTTCTAGAACTTTCTAGAATGTGAGTTCCTTTGCTCAACTTAATGCTTTTTTGAAGTTCATTCATATTGTTGTACACGTTGATCATTTCTTTTCTTTTTTTTTTTTTTATAATTGCTGAGGAGTATTCCATTGTATGGATGAACAATAGTATTGAACCATTTACTAATTAATGGGTGTTTGGGATATAAAATTTGAGATCATTAGTAATAAAGCTGTTATGAACATTTGTATACAATTTTTTTTTAAAAAAAGTTTGTAGGAAACTGGAATGAAAAGATAATGGAGTTTTTCTACAAATATTTGAAGCCATCCTTGTATGTTATTGTTAAGTGCCATCAAGCTGATTCCAGCTAATAGCAATCCTGTATAGGTTTTCCAAGGAGCACCTGGTAAGTTTGAACCACCAACCTTGTTCAAACAGACCTTGTGGTCAAGTGCTTATCCTACAGTCCCTACTCATGTGACTGTATGCCCAACAGAACGAAACACTGCCTAGTCCTGTGCCATCCTCATAATTGTTACGCTTGAATCCATTGTTGCTGCCACTGTATCAATCCATCTAGTTGAGGGGGGGTCTTCATCTTTTTCACTGACCCTCCTCTTTACCAAGCATGATATCCTTCTCCAGGGACTAGTCCTTCCTGACAATATGTCTAATCAAATGGCATGCTGTTGTTGTTATGTGCCATGGAGTCGGTTCTGATTCATAGCAACCCTGTATAGGGTTTCTGAGGCTGTAAGTCTTTATGGGAGCAGAAAGCCTCATCTTTCTCCCACAGAATGGCTGGTAGTTTCGAACTGCCGTCCTTGAAGTTCACAGCCTGAAATGTAACCACTACACTACCAGAGAAGAATGGAACTTTAGGATGACAAGGAGGCCAACTAGCCAAATTCCTGGTCAGCTGTAGTTAGACTAAGGATGAACACCTCCAATGAGAGTTTCAGATAAGTTTCTGGAAATTCAGAAGATAATCAATTGTTCAGACATATGACGCATATGAGTGAATGCACCACACATCTACTAACACTAGCTTGGTCTTCTGGGAAACTCACCCAGGATCCAGAGGAATAAACTGTTGCCATTTGAACCAGGAAACACAGATGTTAACCCCAGCAATTGCCTGAGGGACTTGGTTATGAGAATGAATAAAAAAGGGCCTGAATCTTGACTCTGAGGGAATTTATGGTCTAAAATCCACAACTTTTACAAACAATGCAAAAGGAAGGTTATAAGGGTCAGTATTTTTGCATTCTATTTCTACATTTCAGAGGATATGTGGACATCACCAAGCATTCCCTAATTAATCATCTTTTATTGCATTAGGCCAGAGTATGCCTGTGATAGATAGCCAGGTCCTAATCCTGGAGCCTATGAACATGGCTTTATATGACAAAAGAAACTTTGTTAATATGATGATGTTAGGATCTTGAGAGGGAGAGAGCATCCATTAGGGTGCCCTAAATGTAATCACAAGTTCTTAGGAGGGAGGCAGGGGAAGATTTAACACAGAAAAGAAAAAGGTAATGTGGAGATGGAGTAAAGATAGGAATAATGGGCTTTGAAGATAGAAGAAAGGGCCACAAGTCAAGCTAAGAAAAGGATTTGGAAATTGGGTTTTCCTTAGAGCCTTTAGAAGGAAACAGCCTGGATGACACTGAGTTAAGCCCAGTGAAACTAATTTCAGACTTCTGATCTCCAGAAAGGTCAGAGAATATGTTTATGATGTTATAGGATAAGCACTGGACTACTCTGAACTTATCAACTGCTCCTTATAGGATCCCTACATAGGGCCACTATAAGTCGGAATCAACACGACAACACTTAACAGCAACAAGCTACCAAGCTGTGGTAATTTATGGGAAACAAATACATTCATCATACATTTGCCACTAGGCAAGGTCCTTGATTTACAGAGAATGGTTTCTGCCTACTAGGCTGCCCAACCACCCACTAACCCCTGTGTCATTCTTGGTATAATGGAAAAGACACAGCTTTGAAGCTGGTTAAACTTAAGTTGGAATAAAAGGCTCTGAGCATATTTATTCACCATCTCTGAAACTCAACTTCGTTATCTCCAGTGGTATTTAATAGGTGTGGCACTGTAAGATAAGTACTAGACTGCTAACCATAAGGTCAGTGGTTCAAATCCACCAGTTGCTCCTCAGAAACCTTATCTATAGGAACTTACTCCACAGCACTTAACAACAACTTGTGAAGGTTAATAATAACAATAGGAAATCTGGAATTTATTGAATGCTTACTATGGTGTGAACACATGATTTTATTTAATCCTTACATTAATACCAAAAAGTAGGTACTAGTATTGACTCAGTTTTACAAATTATACTTCAGTATAGAAAGAGGGAACAAATAGGAAACTAAGGCTTAGAGACTACCTTGTCAACTTGCCTGTTGTTGTTGTTAACTGTTGTCGAATCGGTACTGGCTCATAGAGACCCTGTATAGGGTTTCTGAGGAGCAGCTGATGGGTTTGAACTGCCGACCTTGTGGTTTACAGTCCAGTGCTGATCCTCCAGCACCACACCAGGAGTCCTGTCAATTTGCCTAAAGCTACTCTATAGTCAGGTTGGGATTTAAGCCACGCCCACTGGCTGTTCTTAATGATCACATGTGATTTATGACCCATAAGTGCTCTTTGCCTTCCTCTCTTCTGCCCTCGGAGTCATTGCATAGCCCTCTTGCCTTTGGGGCACTAACAGAACTAATACTAGCAGAAGAGGTAGGCCTCCTCCTGTGGGCTAAAGTGGAGAGACAAAATAAACTCTCCAGATCCTGGGATTCCATGATTCCAACACTGATAAAACCCACAAAGGGTGGACCCAGGCACCCCTCACCCAGAGCAGGCAGAAAGAAGTTTCCAGGACCAGCTTGCCTTGTTCTTCAGTTGTTCCCATTTTTTCTTGACTCCAGTCACTCCAGAACTGTGACCCCTCGGCCATACATCGCAGAGCTATGACATATTCCGTAAATGCCTGAAGATCTGTGAGGTTGTATACTTGTTTTAAGTGGATATCTTCCGTGCTGAAGTTGACTTCCTTCTGAAAGGCATAGAAAACCCTGAGTTGAAAGGCAGATAGCATTTCTCCAATTTCCCTCCTCAATCTCCAACCCAATCTTACCTGTTAGAAATAGAAACACTGAATCTTAATTTTTAAGTATATTATTTTCATAAATAATAACTTCACATGAGCCAGGGAACAAGTTACACCTAAAGTGATGTAACCATGAAATGAACAAGCATTGCCCTTCCCATTTCTTGTCTCTAAGCATGTGAGGTGGGATTCATGCCTCTGTACTGGGTCTGAATGAGCAGATTGTTGCTGTGTGCTGTTCTAGATGATCCAAGGTGGAGCCCTGTGGCCCAGGGCGACGTTGGACAGAGTGTCAAGTCCAGAGGTGACTCCTACAGCTAGAAATATAGTCTCATGGAACAGTAGGTGACAGAGACTTTAAAAGCATCAAATTCAACTCTCCTGTCATAGATGAAATCCAAGGGTTAAGTGTCCACAGACAACTTCAGTTTTTGTTACTGGCAGAATTAGCACCAGAACACATAAGTTGTCACTCCTAGGCTCTGTGTTTTTAACCAAGTCAAGGTGCTAAGTGGCTAAGCAGCCTGGTTATATAAGCTTATTTTGACACTTTTTTTTTTTTTTTTTTAAGGTTTTTATTGTGGATTAAGGAGCTCTGGTAGCATAGTGGTTACAAATCGGGCTGTGAACCACAAGGTCAGCAGTTCAAAACTACCAGCTGCTCCACGGGAGAAAGATGAAGCTTTCTGCTCCCGTAAAGATTTACAGCCTCAGAAACCCTGTTCAGGGGCGCTATGGGTCGGAACCTACTCGACGGCACTTAACAACAACATTGTGGATTGAG